GGATGCTATATAAAGATCTAGCTTTAGTTTTCTACAAGTGATTAACCAATTTCTGCAAAGAACCTTTGATGCCAGAAAAGTTAGGTAAGGCAAGAATCTTTAGAATATGTCTTTCAGAGTGTGTGCTCCCAGGTTGGAATACAGGGAGAAGGGAAGAGGACTAGGGAGTGCGGACAGCTATTCTAGGCCCCTCAGCTAACTCAAAGACTTCCTACTTACTATCAAAGAGCAGAAAGTTTGGAGAAGAGTATTTTTACAAGCTCTGCAAGCTCTAAAATCTTGGGTGATCATTAGCCCGGAAGGTTTGAATGAATTCTTCAAGGTTAGAAGAGATAGACTGGGGGCTGCGAAGGTGGCTCAGTAGTAAAGCGCTTGCCTTGCATGCATGAGGCCCTGGGTTCGATTCCTCAGCACCACATAAGCAAAAAGAAAAAAGCCGGAAGTGGCACTGTGGCTTAAGTGGTAGAGCGCTAGCCTTGAGCTAAAGAGCTGAGGGACAGCGCACAGGCCCAGAGTTCAAGCCCCATGACCAGATCAAAAAAAAGAAAGAAAGAAAAGAAAAGATAGACTGGTAGCTTTCATATTTAGCATTGCAAAACACTTGTGTGAAAGAAGACTGGCTAGGGTAGCTTTCTGTGGGTGAGCACCCTATTCAAGCAGGGTCTAGAGTCTGTTCTAGTCAGAAGGTTTCCACTCTAACTGCACTCTTTTCCAGGATATACAGAGTTGAGAACTACTATACTAAAGGCTGAAAACAGTGGAAACACACACACACACAACACACACACACACACACACACACACACACACACACACACCAATTTCTTCTTCTTCCTCCCTTTCCTCCTCCTCCTCCTCTTCCTCCTCCTCCCCCCCTCCCCCTCCTCCTCCTCCTCCCCCCCTCCCCCTCCCCCTCCCCCTCCCCCTCCCCCTCCCCCTCCCCCTTCCTCTTCTTCTTTTTGGTGATGGTCCTGGGGCTTAAACTCAGAACCTGGGTGTTGTCCTTGAGTTGGTGGGTTTTTTTTGCTCAAGGCTAGTGCTCTACCACATGAGCCACAGCTCTCCTTCCAGCTTTTTTCGTGCTTAACTGGAGCTGAGTCTCATGGATTTTCCTGCCCAGGCTGGCTTCAAACCTTGAAGAGAGACCTAGAGTTCTAAACCACCTATGTAGCTAGGATTTTCAGGCATGAGCCGCCAGTGCTGAGCTCTTGATTACTTATGATGATCAAAAGAAACACAACTTCCTCTCTTAATTCTTCAGCTGGGAGCCAGTGGTTCATGCCTGTCATCCTAGCTTCTCAGAAGGCTGAGATCTGAGGATTGAGGTTTGAAGCCAGCCCAGGCAGGAAAGGCTGTGAGATTCTTGTCTTCAATTAACCACCAGAAAATTGGAAATGGTACTATGGCTCAAAGTGGTAGACTACTAGCCTTGAGCAAAGAGCTCAGGGATAGCACCCAGGCCTTGAGTTCAAGCTCCATGACTGACCAAAAAAAAAAAGAAAGAAAAAGAAAACTACTTTTCTGGTATTAATGATACATGCTACTGCTTTTCCTTCCTTATTGTTATTTTTAAAAAATAATTCCCTACTCCTATTCCTTTGTCTGGGCGCTGTCCCTCAGCTCTTCAGCTCAAGGCTAGCGCTCTACCACTTGAGCCACAGTGCCACTTCCGGCTTTTTTCTTTTTGCTTATGTGGTGCTGAGGAATCGAACCCAGGGCCTCATGCATGCAAGGCAAGCGCTTTACTACTGAGCCACCTTCGCAGCCCCCAGTCTATCTCTTAGTGCATCTTTTAAAATAAATTCTTAGACTAGTCTTCAGTAAGGACTGAGTCAGGTGGTGAGTGATAACCTAAGCCAGGATTTGGTTTCCTGCTAGGTAATTGTTAGCCTTTCTTAATTTGTTCTCTAAGAGTCTGAATGGGAGGTGCAATGTCATCTCCGTTAAAAAAAAAAAAAAGTATTTGTCATTTCTCATCAATCTGAGAACTGGATCTCTTGGTAGTAACCACTAGCATCATTTGAGAAGGAAACTTTTGCACACATTCATATTCCAACACACTTACTTAGAGTAAGTACCACTTTGTATTGAAGGTAAATTCTCAAATTCCACCCTAAAGATAATGATCGTTCCCCCTCCCCCCCCACTAGTCCTGGGGCTTGAACTCGAGGCTTGGGTACGACAGCTCCACTTCCAGATTTTTGCAGCTCATTGAAGATAAGAGTCTCATGGACTTTTCTGCCCCAGCTGGCTTCAAACTGTGGTCCTCAGCTCTCAGCCTGCTGAGTAACAAGGATTACTAGTGAGCCACTAGCACCTAGCTAAGAAAATAGGTTTAAGAAACATAGCTGTTACCTTTTTGATTACAACATTCTTACTACTGAGGGTACCTTGATTTTTGTCAAATCCTTGCAGTTCAGATTTTTCTGGCTGTCACAACACCAGTCTTTATCCCTTTTACTCGGAGCCTCTTTCTTCACTCTTCTTACTCCTGCTCTGAATCATTGTCCTCTTGCTGTTCAGTCTCAAGGATGATAGTTCTTCCTTCCCTTCTTTCCAGCTGTGTCTTCCTTTTCCTCCTTCAGAATCCAACTCAGGTGTGCCTGAGGATAGACTGCCTTTCCATTTCACTGTAACAGACACTATATGACTATATGCAACATTATATGCATGCCCTCTCTTTCTCTCTCTCTCTCTCACACACACTTAATTGCATCCCTTATTTTTCCTTCTTAGCACTTACCAAAGTTATAAATAACTATGTATATTTGTTGTTTATTGTCTTCCTTCTCTATTAGAAAGGAAGTTTGGTGGGTGGATGGGCTCCATCTGTTTATCTCTCTAAAATAGGTAGTATGGTTTTAGAGGTGCTAAGTACTTAACAGTAAGTTAACAATTATTTGTGGAAGGAATCATGTAGACAGAACATCATGAAGACAGAACACAAAGACCACTGTTGCAGCCCTTTTCTGAGTTAGTCCTATCTTCAGTCCCTGTTTTTTCTCCTTGCTCAGTGTTCCAGAGTTATCCACTAAATAGATACCACTGATGGCCTTGCTTAGCATTACGTTAGTAATCCCAAAGATTAACCATCCAATCATCGCTTAACCTTTTTTTTATTAAATGTGTAGTCTGGTGCCACTGGCCATGACTGTCTGTTGTGTATTCATCCTGCACAAGGCAATGGGTTACTTTCCCAGAAGTGGGAGGTTCTGTATGTTTCCATGATTCTATGAGGTTCTGGAAGGTTCCATGGGTCCCACACAGTATAGAGATGGACAAGAGTTTCTCAGTTTTGTCAATTTGATCTATTATTATTGACCCTTCCCAAAGTAACTATGCCTTTATCAAATGAGAAATGAAACCGAGTCATTCATTCATACATTCATTCAATCTTTCTGTAAGTATTTTCTTAAATGCTAATGATGTAAGTTGTTATTAGAAAGTCAGCATAGCTATCTACCTTGCTTCTTGTATTCAGAGAAAGAATAATTCAGGTAAGATGTGAAACATAGTAAAAAGGATAAGAAAACTTATTAGGAAAGGAATAGAGCAGGAAAATGGGGTTTTTACATGGCAAGATGGAATCAATTCTAATTTAGCTGTCTTCAGTTCATATTCATATTCAGGCATCAACATTAAGTTTAAACTAAGGGGACAAGGGGCAAATGTACGCATGGAGTCTCATGTCTGAGTTCTAATTCCAGAAGAATAAGAACTAGATCTCATTCTTAGGGGGTTCCTGAGAAATTATCACTAAAATCATCACTTGTAGGGAGCAGTCTGGTTCCCATGAGATAATTCCTCCTGCTCCAAGATGCAGTCCCATCATTAGGTAATCACAGGTAATCATCTTCATTTGGGAGTTGATCTGTCCTGCAAAACTCTGCTGTTCTTTAGGGATAATTTCAGTCCCTTGTAAAGATGTTATTGATCTGTTCTGTCTTTTCTGGAAGCCAAAATGATTGTAAAGTGACTGTAGAGAGAAAGGCTTAGAGGAAAGACAGATCTAAACTGGAGGCAGAGACACTAAGATTTTGTCCTGCTTTTTGTTAATCTTGGCAGCAAAAACAGTTTTAAGTACCTGTTACTGAAGTATATAATCACTGTCCCAAAGGTTGGGGTAGGTTTACTAAATTACATTGGTCCTCTCAGCAGTGAGTCATATAGATAAGTTATAGAGCTATCTAATAGTTCCAGTAACTATGTATTACCTCACCTTAGGCTGGAGTGAAGCCTTTCAGTAATTCTCAAAAACTCACCTTGTGACATTCCATGACTTTAGTCACATTTAAGTTGTAAAATTTTGTTAGCGTTTTGTCTGAGAGATGCTGTGATTTCATAGAATTTAAATTTCCTTTAGGTTTCCCCTTTGCTTATGGCTAATTGCTACCTGTCAGTATTGTCAATGAGAGTCCTTCGATGAATCTATAGTTTTAGGGTTTTTTTTAAAATTGTAGTTTCTGTATTCTTCCAGTTTATCTGTAATTAAGATGTTCTGTAGGAAGGTTATTTCTGCTCCTTTATAGGTGTTTATATAATAATGAGCATCATTGCTAGGAAGTATAAATGTATAGCCAGCCCTGTGTCCTTGACAGTGGAGAATGGAAAAAATGGAAGAAACAGTGAGGATAGCTGCATTTGCTGAATGAAACAGGATTTAGGCAGCATTTTTCTGTTTTAGACTAGAATATTGAGTTGAGGTCAGAGCCATGGACCAGCTAATAAATCCAGGAATACTTTGAAAGCAGATAGCGTTTTGAGCCAAAGGACTACCAAATCTTCTCAGTATCACTGGTCTGCCTGGTGTCATCCACCAGTGAAACTGGGAGAGGACCAAGATCAAGGGCATGCCCTCCTGGGTCATAGTATTCAGTGTCCCCAGTAGGTAGTGGTGTTCCAAGATCGGAAGTCTGAGTCACAGTGCTGAGTCCATGGGACCTGGTCTTCTACCTATGTCTCTGCTCTGAGCTCCAGCCTTATGTCTCTGCTCTCCTTAGGTTCCTCCTGATGATGGGTGTACTCTTCTGCTGTGGAGCTGGCTTCTTCATCCGCAGGCGCATGTACCCACCACCACTGATCGAAGAGCCTGCGTTCAACGTGTCCTACACCCGGCAACCCCCAAACCCCACTCCAGGTCAGACAGTCCTCTGTCTCTGTCTCTCTCTCCTGCAGTGCATGTATCATCTGTAAACATTTGTCATGGATATGACTACAGAGTATACTGGAAGAAAAAAAATTGGCCATTTTGTTCATTTAGATTCCAGTGACTAACTTTATAACTCATTTGTGCTGGTCACAAACATGTATAGGATTGTGTGATCATTGTCTTATAACCTCATATTCTCTTTTGGGGGCTTGAGGGCATTTTTTTTTGTCTGTGTCTGCCAGTATTGGAGCTTGAACTCCAAGCTTTATGCTCTTGGATGTGTGTGTGTGTGTGTGTGTGTGTGTGTGTGTGTGTGTGTGTGTGTGTGAGAGAGAGAGAGAGAGAGAGAGAGAGAGAGAGTGTTTGATTCAGGCTAGCCTCCACTTTCCACATTTTTCTGGTTAATTTGGAGATAAGAGTCTTGGGGACTTTTCTGTTCAGGCTGACTTCAAACCTTAATTCTCAGATCTCAGACTCCTGAGTAGCTAGGATTACAGGCATGATCACAGGAGCCTGGCTAAATTATGATTGGTGTACCTTGGATGAATGCAATGAATGCAGTTCATATATGCATATTATTTTTTCTCTACCTTTTCCTTAAAAAGTTATTTTATGTAGAAATTTCTATGAAGGCATGGTAATGTTCCCAATATTCTAAATACCTCTATATTAAATACTATGTTTGTAAGTGGTAATTTGCTTAGATATTCTATGATTGGTGATCATTTGTTTTGTTCTCTTTTGTTTTACCTTCTATTTGATCATTTTTTCAAAAAGTAGTTGTTGTAAAATACTAGTTTTCTTTTTTATTTCTTTTTAAATTTTTATTATAAAGGTGAGGTACAGAGGGCTTACAGTTATATAAATCAGGTAAAGAGTGCATTTACTTTTGTACAATGTTACCCCTTTCCTCTTCCTAGTTTTCCTTTTTTCTGTATCAGTCCTGGGGCTTAAACTTGGAGCCTAGGCTCTGTCCCTGACCTCCTTTTTTGCTCAAGGCTAACATTCTACCATTTGAGCCACAATTCCACTTTTGCTTTTTTGTTGTTGTTGTTAGATTAGTGGAAATAAGAGTCTCACAAACTTTACCTAGGCTGGCTTTGAACCTTGATCCTTAGATCTCAGCCTCCAGAATAGCTAAGATTACAGGTATGAGCCACCATCACTCAGCAAATTGCTACTTTTCGAGTACTCAGGAGCAATGTTGACAGTTTTGTAGACAGTTTTGTAGGCATTATATTTGTCCTCACCTTCTTTAGGAACTCAGATTAAGAGGTGCATTTTTGAGATGCGTGCCAGTGGCTTATGCCTGTAACCCTACCTACTCAGGAGGCTGAGATCTGAGGGTCTCAGTTCAAAGCTAGCCTGGACAGGAAAGTCCATGAGACTCTGGAGAGTTAACCATCAAAAACTAGAAGTAGTGCTGTGGCTCAAAGCAGTAGAACGCTAGCCTTGAGCACAAAAGCTCAAGGACAGCACCAAAGGATTCACAAATCTGAGTTCAAGCCCCACTATGGGGGGAAGAAAGAGTTTCATTTCTAGAAGAGTTGAGAGTCAAGCTCTGAGGAAATCAATGTTCTTATGATGAATGGTTGAGGGAACTAGTTCAAGAGCTTCAAAGTAAAGGCAATTAAATCGTAGCTTGTCTTCTTTCTGGTATGCTATGTAACAGCAAAAGTTTGTCAAAATCAAGGCTATAAAATTGTCTGACAAGACAGTCTTAAGGAGCATTTAGTGAAGAGAGAACTGGTTATGTCTTTGGCAGCATGGCTGTGCTTCCAATAACTGGAAGAATAGACAGTAATGAAGGCTGTAGAATTACACTTAAAACATGTTTTCCTTGGATGTATCTAATACATAAAAAAATTAAGTAGTTCAAGTGAGCAGAATATTCCTATTAGTAAGATGTAGTTTTACTATTATTCCTTTTGGCCACACTTTTGTGGTGAGTTTGTTGATGGTTTCCTGACTGTTTTGATGTCTCCATCCTATAATAAATCTGTTGGTCTGTAGTGATGGTGGCTGCCTGGCTGAATGAAACCAGTTAGGAAAGTGGGAGGGGTTTTGAAATTTTAATTACTCACCAGTTTCTAGCTGAAGCATAACCAGGGATGCTTCAGCTTCAGTAGTGAGGACATGTGAACAGTCTGACTTTTTTTTTCTGGTGCTGGTCCTGTGGCCTGAACTCAGGGCTTGGGTGCTATCTCTGAGCTTTTGTACTTAAGACTAGGACTCTACCACTTGGATCATAGTTCTACTTCTGGCTTCTTCTGGGTGGTTAATTGGAGATGAGAGTTTCATAGACTATCCTGCCTGTGCTTCCTCTGAGCTATGATCCTCAGATCTCAGCCTCTTGAGTAGCTAGGATTACAGGTGTGAGCCACTAGTGGCTGGGCATCTGACTTAAGAGAAGGACATAAGAGTCTGACAAGAGAATGACCCCCTGGATCTAAGACTATCCAAATCCCTTATATAAAATGGTGTGGTATTTGCATATAATCTGCACATATCTTCTTATATATTTCAACTCATCATAGATAACTTATAATCCCTAACATAATGCACGTACTTCAAATAGTTGTTAGCCCATATTGTTAGGGAATCATAACAAGAAAAAGATATGTACATGTTTGCTGCAGATGCAATGGTTCTCAAACAATTGCAGCCTGTAGTTGGTTAAATCTGAAGATGCAGAAGCTGTTGTTGTTATTATGATTATGATTATTATCATTATTATTACCAGTGCTGGGTCTTGAACTCTGGGCCTGGGCACCGTCCCTTACCTCTTCAGCTCAAGGCCAGCACTCTACCACTTGAGCCACGGCACTATTTCCAGCTTTTTCTGTTTATGTGGTACTGTGGAATTGAACCTAGGGCTTTATGCATGCAAGGCAGGTATTCTACCACTAAGCCACCTTCCCAGTCTGTAATTATTATTTTAACAGGATAAAGCTGCAGTTAGGCATTAGATCACCTCACTTTATCTCTACCCCTGTGCCTCTAACATTTCCCATTTTTATTGCTGTTGTTATTGTTGTTGTTTATTGCTTCTCCCCCTGGAAGGATCAGTGGGATAAGGGAGCCCAGGATGGGGTGTGGTATAGTCCTGTGCTTTTAGAGATCTCTTCTTGTCCATGGCTTCTACTATACTTGCTCCCAGTGAAAGACAGCATTATGTTAAGAACATGGAGTTTGTAAAAGAAATTAACTAGAAATGCTTAAAGTCTCTTTTGTTTGAAAAGCACCAGTGCCCATGAATTACTAGCAATCTTATGGTGACTAGTTGGCCCAGGTATTAGGGAGGGGTGTGGCTATCAGAATAATGTCATCTAGACAGGCCCAAAGTTGTCACTGCTCTATGTTATACTCCTGCTGCATAGGGTCATCTCTACACAGCTTACATACTTTTAGCTGATAGTAACAAACACTCATTTCAGCAAGATTGAAAAATGAGGAAGAGTAGCTATTGTGACAGAGTTACAGTGATGATGGCCTAGCAGCATCCTCAGGGACTCCATTTCTTTCCAGCTGTCCATGCTGCCCTAGCTTGTGTATTCTTTGTAGTTTGCACTGGCGAAAGGATGTCTGCCTCAGTGCTTCCAGATCTAACATGGCCAGTAGAAGAAAAATTCAACTTTTAAATCTATAAAATGAGAATATGTAATGGGACTCTCATGCTATTTCTGTAGGACTTGGATATCATGATACATAGGAGGTGCTGTATTTTGGGGGGTGAGGGAACTCTATTTTTTCTCCATTGTTCACACTTCCCTAGGGCCTTATTTTTCTTGATTCCAATCTCTATTTCTGGTGTCAGTCTCTCTTTGCAACTTTAGAATGGATCACATGGATTTCATTGGGAACCTTTCAGGTTTTGTTATTTGGAGGATTTTAAGGTGCTTTTGATTCCAGAGTATCATGCCATGCAATTATGTGCAATTTGGAGGGAAGGTCTCTGGTGTCTGGGGCACCTAGTTGGGCTTCCTACTTCCAGTCTGTCCTTATCAATGTGGGTTTCACACTTGGAATGAAAGCTTCCTGCTTGCTTCCTTTCTTCTTTTCTGCTTCCTGCTTTCTCTTCCTATATGTCTTTCTGCCTCAGTTAAAACAGTATCTATCTTTGCTCACCTTGGCCAGTGTCTTGTCAAGTGTTCTCCTTTCAGCTACACTAGTGGAAATCTTGCTTAGGTCTGAACTGTGCCTATTTTCTCTAAGAGACAGCTGAACTGGCATTGCTTGGCCCCATCTGGTGGGAGAGCCTTCTGCTACTCACCCCAAGGCAGCAGTGTCTATTCCTGAGGCCCTATAGCCTTAATTAACCAATCAAAGCAGAGCTCAAAGGATGTTCTTGGCCTCCTGTTGCCAAGTTCATGTTGTTAATACATAATTTATTGACTGTTCTGTTGTGTGGTTTTTTTTTTGTATTTGAGATGCCCATCTCCAGGTTCAAATATTTCAAATCTATTTTGCAACAATTGGCAATTTGGGGATTAATCCCTTTTTGCCAATTTCTACAAAATCTGAGTTGAGGTTCTAGGATGAGTGTGAATGGCCATGCTTCAGGGACATTGTAGACACAGTCCAATAAATGAAGAAAGGAAGGGTGGTACATATGTGAAAATGGAAATAGGTAAGTTGAGGGAGTGGCTAAGGTTGGAAGAGATGGGGAAAAATGATGGAAGGAGTGACACTGATCAGGATGCATTGTCCAGGGCTGGGAAGGTGGCTCAGTGGTAGAGCACTTGCCTTGCATGTATGAGGCTCTGGGTTTGATTCCTCAGCACCACATAAGCAGAAAAAGCTGGGAATGGCGTGGTGGCTCAAGTAGTAGAGCGCTCACCTTGAGCTAAAGAGCTGAGGGACAGCACCCAGACCCAGAGTTCAAGCCCCATGACCAAGAAAAAAAAAAAAAGGTGCATTGTACAAACAAAACCAACCTGTTGGATTTTGTATACCTATGAATAATTAAAAAATAAGTGCTTGATAAGAAATGTACTCATTACCTTGCCCATGTAATTGTAACCCCTCTGTACGGTGTTTTCACAATAAAAATAAAAATTAAAAACAACAACAACACATGAAGCAGCGTTGTGTAGAGTTAGGGCTCACGGTGTTCATTCTGAATTCCTGATTGCCTGTCAATAAAGAGGAAGAAAGTTCTACGTGCCAAAAATAAAAAATAAAAATTAATTAAACAAACAAACCAACACAGTCTAAACCTAATCCATGAGGAAAACAGCAACATGGGCTGCTTTTCCATTCACCTCTCATGATCCTAATAGTTTCCCTGTTAGTCCAACTTCTTCATAGATGCTGCATTCATTTTCTGTATCCAAACCATTCTCACCCATGCTCTCTCTCCTTTGTATCTGTCACTACCCCTGAAAAAAATGTTGAAACATTTCCCATCCTTACAGTGTCTCTCCCCTTGATTCCTACCCCTGGATTGCTTTTTTCCTACTGTGTCGGGTATCTGTTCTGACACTATTCTAGCAGTATCAAATAAAGAACACAAACTCTACTGCTGCTGAAAATTTGCAGTTCTTCTTTTGAGCTCTCTTTGGTCTTGTAGCAGGCCAGTCACTTATGCCTTCTTAAAAATTCTTTCAGAACACAAAGGTTCAATGCCTGTGTGCATCTATCATATAAAATAATATCAAAATGAACTCCAGGAAATGGGAACAAGAGGTTCTTTTCTGTGTTGTTTTTGTTTTGTTTTCATCTTGTTTGTTTATCTGTCTTTGGGAAGGTAAAGGAGGCGCAGAAATGGAGGGACAAAGGGTGACAAATGCAGCAGTGGTGCTCACTAGACACTGAGTTGAAAATGAATTATATAACTTGTGGGTGGGGATGGGAGGGAAAAACTGGGAGAGGGAAAAAGGGAAGGAGTGACATTGTCCAAAAAGAAATGTACTCTTTAACTACGTAACTGTAACCCCCTCTGTACATCACCTTTATCATAACAATGAAGTTTTAAAAATTCTTCTTTTGGGGTGAAGAATGCTGTCATAAAACTCAGTGCATATCCTATGAAACTAAGAAAATTAAAGAGAGGGATTGTGTTGGGAAGAATGAGAGAAAATGATGAAAGGGCTGACATACAACTACTTAAAGATAATAAAAATATGATTAAAATATTCTCCTTTGTAGCTGGACACTGGTGACTCATGCCTGTAACCCTCACACCTATAACCCCTAGGTACTCATGGGGCTGAGATCTAGGACCAAGGTTTGAAGCCAACCCAGGCAGGAATGTCCATGAGATTCTTACCTTCAATTAACCACCAAAAAGCTGGAAGTGGAGTTGTGGCTCAAGTGGTAGAGTGCTAGCCATGAGTGAAAGAACTAAGGGACAGAACATAGCCCTTGAGTTCAAGCCTCAGTACCAGTACACATGCACATATAGGCACTCGATCACACACAATATTGTCCTTTATCTCTGCAGTCATGACACTTTTTCTGGCTTCTTTAGTCACCTTTGTATCCTTCTCTATGACCTGAAATGATTCACAGTTGCTCTTTGTCAATATTGGGCTTGAACTTGGAAGTTTTGTGCTTTCTTGACTTATTTGCTCATGACTGGTGCTATGCTACTGATTCATGCCTCTAGCTCTGCCTTTTATTTATTAATTGAATATAGTGTCTCCCAGCTATTTCTGCCTAGGCTGGCTTCAAACTGTGATCCTCCAGATCTCAGCCTCCTGAGTAGCCAGGATTATAGGATTAGGCCACTAGCACCTGGTCACCTTAAATGTTTTGTGTTCTTCTGTCTTGAATGCTGATCTTTACGGTAACTTTATCCTAGCTACTGCCTTTTCTTCCTCTCTGAGCACTTCCTTAGTGGTCTTATCCACACTCTTGTCTTTGCTTACTACATTTGCATAACTGACTATCCTTTTTCTTGGCAATTATCTCTCCAGTGTGGAATTTTCCATCTGCCCTGTCCTTGTCCTGTATTGGTGCGTCCTCCTTCCTTGAGACTAGAAACAAGAGCCTTTTTTTCTAGATCTTGTCTTCATCCTTTTATATTCCATATTGAGTTGGCTTCCATCAATTATTGGCTGTGCTTTCCTGTTAGCTCCTTTCCCCTTCTTCTCTAATACTCAAAGGCCTTCATCATCTTTCTAGGGTACTACAATGGCTATATTTTCTAACTTTAACTTTTAAATTCTATAACACATTAATTGTAGAGCACATTTAATTTGCAACACATCTGAGAAACTCATGGCCATTGATAGTAAACACATGCCAAGGCAATGAGTTTGCCCTGACAGAAGCAGGTGCCATCTGTGGGGTAACACAGGGGTGAGATGTTGTGGTGTTTGAATAAGTAGCATCTGTTGCTGACTTTCTGCCCTGCTGGCACCTGGAATGCAGACCTAGTTTTTGTAGCTGTCCCACTTCCCTTTGAGCACATTTGTAGATTTTCAAGATTTGACTTTTACCTGCTTGAGAGGTTTGGAATACCTTACCCAAATGAATGGACATCTTCCTAAGAATCAGAGTTTACTTAAGTAAACTCTTGTGGTGGGGGGAGGTGGGAGAGAATGGAATCTAGAAGATTATCAGGGGCCCAACCTTATAATCCTAACTACTTGGAAAATGAAGATCAAGAGATCATAGGTCATCCATCTATAGGAAGGGAAAAGAGAAAAAGGTTATGAGTCTCCATCTCAACTAATGGTTGGCTGGGTGTGGTGTCCATATGTGTGTTATTCCAATCAAGGGGAAAACATGATCGAAGTAACCAAACATAAAGTAAGCTATGAAGTCACAACTCAGAGTTACAGCCAATTTGGGACAGGATAGCTGTTCTCTTACCTCCTGTCAGCTTTTCTGAAACCCTCCATGTCCAGCATGCTGGCCTGCATCTTAGATCCTCAGACTTGGAGAAGAGCATCTTTGGTGATATTTGGGAGGAATAGAGATTCCCCACCGACGGTGCATAGCGATACATCAACTCTAGCTCTGCTGCTAACATAGGTCTTGGTAGTTTTTCACCTACCTGTGACCTTGGGCTTACCCTGAATGACAGGGACTCCCTGATCTCACACAATGCTAACTCAGCAGGTTGAACCTGAAAGTTATATTAGAAAGTTTTTAGCAAACTCTTCCATGTATTATTCTTGCTTATTCCCTTGAATTCACTGTCGGATGTGTTGGGTCCTTGATGCAAATTAATGGAGTCAATCATGAAATGAAAGGTCCAGTTCTGACAGCCCAGCATCTGTGGCTCACACCTATAATCCTAGCTCCTTGGGAGACTGAGATCTGAGGATCACAATTTAAAGCCAGCCCCCACAGGAAACTGCATGAGACCCTTATCTCCAATTAACCACCAGAAAACCAGAAGTGGTGCTGTGGCTCAAAATGGTGGAGCACTAACCTCATGCAAAAAAGCTCAGATAATGCCCAAGCCTGAGTTCAAGCCCTGTGATTGACAAAACAAACAAAAATCCAATTTTGAAACTGCCTAGTGTTGTGGTTTTTTTTCTTTTCTTTTGAACTCACATGTGATTGTCTTCTTTTACAGGAGTCCAGCAGCCGGGGCCACCATATTATACCGACCCTGGAGGATTGGGTGTGAATCCAGTGGGGAATACCATGGCAATGGCTTTCCAACCCAATTCACCCCAGGGAGCCATGACCTACCCACCTCCTCCTTCCTACTGTAACACTCCCCCACCCCCTTACGAACAGGTGGTAAAGGACAAGTAGTGACACACAGTGGGGGAAGGTGGAAAGACCAGATGGGCTTTTCAAAGGCCCTCCCCATCCCCATGGACATTGGCTTCCAGGAATGGCCCAAGGGCAAACTCCTCTGATATCTTCAAAGCAAGCACAGTTCCCTTTCAAGTTTTCCATGGAGGACAATATTTGAACTCACAGGGTGTCTCCTCTGTTGCTTTTGTTTCTGATAGAGTCTGGCGGAATGTGACAACAGTCCTCAAGGATTGGCATTCTTAGGGTGACATGACCATATCATCATGAGAGAGGCTAGGAGGAGAGGAAAACAGAGCCTGCACATGAGGGAGAATGGATAGAGGGTGATTAACTGAGCTGAGTCCAGTAGGCAGCTTAGCCTATGAACAAGCAGCTGGGCAGCGAGGAGGAGCCCACAGGGTGCCTGTCAGCTGACCTAGCCAATTCTTCTTCCTGAAGCTATTAGAGATACGAAGAGGGGAATGAGCCTCTTTTGTGTCACTCACCTCCTGAAGATAAACAACCCCCTTAATATCTTCAATTTCCACTCCCATCCCAAAGGTAGGCTTCCCTCTGTACAGACCAGAAAACCTCATCTGCTTCCAGATGAAGATCAGAATCAGGACCAAGATGAACATTGCAGTTATCAGAAGATCACTAAGGAAAGTCATTGAAACTCATGGGAAATCACTCCTGGTCCCAAACAGACACTATTTGATGAGTTCTTGTTCTGACTTGGAGAAGAAAAAAAATGCCCTCCCCCTATTTAGTGCATATATGGAAATGTATGTGTCCTGTCCTTTGAGATCAGAGGTTCTCCATGGATTTTACTGCCTAGAGGCTTCCACTGTTTTCTCTGAGGCAGCTCTGATGATGTGTTTGATAGACACTTTCATAGCAGAAGGTCACATCTGCCCAGGTATTTCCATCAATCCTTTTGAAAGAGAGAACAAGGTCAAGATGGCACCACAGCCTTGCTGAACCAGAGCTGGTAGTAATGATTTTAGTCCCAGCAAGAGTCTACTGGGCTTCAAAGAGGAGGAGCCTGCTCAGAGAAAGAAGAAAACTGACCATTTGATCTAAACTAGAATCAAGATGTAGTTTTGAAATCCTTGGAGTAAGAATCATAGCTCACCCATAGACTTACAAGTAATCAAGAGAGTTGTTGACAATTAGCTGGGAGTTCTATTGCTCTGTGTAGTTAGTCGCATTGATGTGTATTTAAAACCAGACTGAGACCTGATCATGTTGTGTGTACTAGGAGAAAAGCAGCATAGCCAAGATGCCTAGATTGCATGTAGTATTGTCAGGAGCAGAACTAGGAGTAGAAAGTGTTCTTTTTTCATTTTTTTCTCTCAAGGCTAGAGCTCTACCACTTGAGCCACACCTCTACTCTAGCTTTCTGGTAGTTAATTGAAGATGAGAATCCTATGGACTTTCCTGCAGGTTTCCTACTATCGTCCTCAGATCTCAGTCTCCTGAGTAGCTAGGAATACAGGTGTGGGTCACCAGTGCTGTACAGCAGGGGTCTTGTTTTTTAAATAAACTAATTCAAAGTCTTTGAGGAATTGTTACTCATTAACCTTGAGTATCCAGACTCACTAAAGTGGACGTGGAATGTTTTCCTCCTGCCAAGAAGTATAGTGTCCACATTCTGCTGGGAAAGGGGTATTTATATAATGGGTGAGAAGTAGAGATAGGGCCAGGGTAGCTACATGGATTTACTTTAAGGATAGAGTTTGTGTGACCTTCCCAGGCAATTCCACAGGAAATGCAGAAGGAAACAAAACACTTGGGAACAGTTTGTGAACCCAAATGCTGCCACCTGAGTAACTCACAACTCTTCTGTGAACTCTGACCCCTGGTCCCTGCCTGCAGTACCTTCCCATGCTCAGTCTATATTTTAAATGAGATGATAAAGCACAATGTCTGCTGTTTACAACCAAGACAACTACATGGGTCCAAATCATTCCTCTTCAGTCTAGAGAGTCATTTGTTTTGCATTTGAAACTTCAATTTCTTCTACTTTTCTAACATAAAGAAGCACATTCAGAGCTGCCCCTGGGAATTGGATCAGGGTACAGCTGAATCAAGGGGCCCAGCATCTGTGACTAAATTTTGCCTAAGTTTTTTTTTTTATAACAATCTTAAGAGACTCAACAATTTTATAATCCCATGTCTGTAAAATAAATTATGTGTCCCATTAATCTGGGTTTGAATCTTGCCACCAAGAACACAGGCACTGCTGGTGAAAATTCTGCCTCTGGGGACATTTCCCAAATGTTCATATCTCCTTTGGGACTCCAGTTGGTCCCACCCACTTCTTTGGGCAGTTCCAGCTCCTGTGTGAAGTCCTATAGAGCCCATGATTAGGAACAAATTTGAAGTAGATCTGTGCATGCACTTTCTTGGCAACAGCTGGTTCATGTCTCTTTTGCTCTCTTTTGATAGGGTACTGTTTCCTATGTATGCAAAATAAAAAGAAATTTGGTCATGTGTCTTGATTGTTTTGCTGGAGAATGGGAAAGGGAGTAGAGGTGAAATTCCTAGCAAGAAAGAATACTCAGTGAAACAAGTTCATGTGGGAGGTGGGCTGGAGTGAAGGATATACCCATCAGGGCAGAACTGGAACGTAGATGTTACCCTCAGGAATATATGGTACTTAAAGTTTACCAACATGTTTTCCATATCAAACTAGTAAAAAAATTAAAAGGGGGGGGGTCTAAGGGAAGAGGAGAGAGAAGCTTTAAACTCACAGCTGACACTGACACTGTCAACTTAATGGGGAATTGGCTCTGTTCTTCAGGAGGTCAGTCTTCATGTTAAAATCCTACTTAAGAGCCAAGCTCATTGGCATACATCTATAGTCTTAGCTACTTTGGAAACTGAAGCAGGAGGATCATGTGAGCCCATAAATTCAGAACCAGCCTTGACAACATAAAAACATCAAAGGAAAAAAAAACCCACCATTCTCTATAATGAGAAATTATACTTGTGTTTCTCAAAGATGGCTGCTAAAATTAAGCTGCATTTTAGATGAGTAATTAGTTGTGATAACATTTGTAAGGAAGCAGAAATATATTTTTCCTTCTTAAAACATTTGTCCAAGAACTCCAGTCTCTGTCCCCTGTATGGACTCAGTTTCATTGCAACTGTCTCTGGAGATTGACAGAAAATTTTGGCATATTGAACATTCTTAGCAATACCTTAGTGCTATATCACCCAGCAATTCTGAAATTAGTAGACCATCTTATCTTTCTGGGGAAGCTGCTGTGAGCATTGTTGGAAGGGTCCACCTTCCTGCTCCACCTGTATTTCGGAATGGCTACCCTAAAAAGACAAGAAGAAGAGAAAGTCAGTGACCATCCTGGTTTCCCCTGCATTCTTGCCACTGGGCCTTCAACTAAAGTGCTGCTTCAGTGCATGCTTACCAAAGGGTAAATCTGCTGGAATGGCCACACATGACAATATCCAAGGTTTAGTTGTACCATCTAGATATTATACTTGTCTATTTCCGTCATTAAAGGAAGGCTGAAATGGTAAAACTAACTTAGGGCACTTGGGCAAATAATATACAGATGTAAAATGACTTTAAGACTATACATGAGAGTAGTTGGGAAGTACAGTGTATAACTCTCTTTTGATAGGTTACTGCTCAGGAAGCTGAGGTAGGAGCATCACTTGAATTCAGGAGCTCAAGACTAGCCTAGGCAATACAGTGAGACCCTGCATTTCCAAAATCTTATGAAAGTCAATAAAAGTGCCAACTTCTAAAAATATCAACCCTACACCAAATAGGCTTGCCTTAGGAGCTCCCGACAGCGCCTCCAAGAGGCTTCTCAAATGTACTACAAAACTTACTTTTCTACTTTCAGACATACTGTCATGATGGGAAAGCTAAGGAAAACTTTACAGTGAACACCCATAAATCCACTACCACTAGACTCTGGAACTATTTTGACTGTTTTCGAAGTCTTTTGTGGCTAGGTGCCAATAGTTTATGCATGGAATCCTAGCTACTCAGGAAGCTGAGTTTGAAGACCACAATTAAAGCCAGCCCAGGCTGTAAAGTCTGTGAAGATGTGGCTCAATTGATAGAGCATCAACTGTGAGTGAAAAAGCTAAGTGGTAGTGCCCAGGTCCTAGATTCAAGTGCCAGTACCAGCATAAAAAATATATTTGCAACAACCAACGTGCTTTTTCTTGCACTTTGTGTTGTGTTTTAAGGCATTAATAATCACTTTGTCCATAAAGAAATCATTTATATTTGAGCTTAAAATTACTTTTTCTTCAACTACTGAGTCCCCTCTAATAAGTCTTAGGCAGAAATCTACTGTATTTTCTCCAAATACTACCTGTGTTCGTGAGTTTTCTCTCACTGTGACAGAATTCTTGAGATAATCAGCCTATTTTGGCTCATGCTTTCAGAAGTTTCCATTTTTGGTTACTTGGTCCAGCTGCCTTTTATCCTCTTTAAGGCAACCCCTGTGCTCACCTGTTTTTCTTCCACTAGGCCCCATTTTCTTGAAGTCCAACCATCTCCCAGTAAAATCACACTGTGATGGTGGTTCATGCTTGTAATCCTAGCTTCTTAGGGGGGCTGAGATCTGAGGACACAGTTCCAAAGCCAGCTGAGGGCAGGAAAGTCAATGGGACTCTTATTTCTAGTTAACCAGCAAAAAGCCAGAACTGGAGCTGCGGCTTAGGTGGTAGAGTACTAGCCTTGATCAGAAAAAGATCAGGAATGGTACCTAGGCCTTGAGTTCAAGCCCAGAAATAAGAAGAAAAAGAGAAAGGGAGGGAGGGAGGGAGGGAAGGTAGGTAGGAAGGAAGGAAGGAAGGAAGGAAGGAAGGAAGGAAGGAAGGAAGGAAGGAAGGAAGGAAGGAAGGAAAGAAAACACACACATGATGCCCCGCCTCCATCACCTAGGCCTGTGGGAAACATCTTTGATCCAATTGTTGCCCTGCTTGAATTGCCAGCCACCCACAGCAGCAGACCACACACAGTAGTGGGGAAATATCTCCCTTCAGACCTTAGAGTACAGGCCTGTCTCCAAGTTACAATGCTCCCTCTCCAGCGTCTCCTGTGCCATCCTTGCATGCACACTTGTAGGTGTGGCTACCTGGCCTCCCCTATAGTGCTTGTCCTGGTGGCTTGTTCTGGACCCATTTAATACCTTTAGTTTAGTTCTGACACCTTTCCTTGAAGCCCCTTGAGACACTATCAGAAGCCGAGCCCAGGTGTGTCTGGCTACGTGTGAAATTGCTAACATTGCACCTCAGCTGAAAGATATCTGGTCTAATCTGTCTTCAAGAAATCCTTGGCACCTCAGCAGATGTGCCCACCTTCTTAACCTGCAGCAGGGGCTGCACCCCTGGGCTATTTGGAGATGAACTCTAGGCCCCAATGGTGCCATAATGCCCTTTTTTAGAACCTTTTATTTAACCATGTTTTAATTACTCTTCATCATTTTACATGTTTTGAAGGAAAATTGGGCATTTTAATTTTTTTGTATATGGGGGTGCTGCTTTCAATTTTACAGGACATGTTTGATTATTATTAATCTCATTGGAGATCCTCATGTAGACAGGAAGAAGAATGGGTCAAGCTGCTTATCAAGCATCACATCTTGGGTGGGAAAAATACCTCATTTGTTTAACTTCTTCCAGAAAAGTTCAAGCAGGGATCAATTACAAGTCAGGGGTCGAGGGAAAGAAAAGAAAGCCCCAGATAGCCAAGCCAGTCCACCATCTCCTGTTACTGCCCAGGAGAGAGGGTCTTGCCTGTTTGCCAAAACGAAGGAGGAAAAGACAACCTACTATTTTCAGGCCAGTACCCAGGAGACAGTCTTTCCTGCTTCAAATGCACCAAACATGAGCCCAGGCCAGCCTACCATTCTGTGGCCCAGGCCAGCCTACCATTCTGTGGCCACGGCCCAGGAAATGGACTTGTCTGCCTCAAATACATCAATCATAAACCGGGTACTGGTGGCTCACTCCTGTAATAGCTACTCAGGTGGTTGAGATCTGAGAATCACAGTTCAAAGCCAGCTCAGGCAATAAAAGTCTTTAATTAATCACAGAAAAAAAACCAGAAATGGTGCTGTGGCTCAAGTGGTAGAGCTTAGCCTTGAGCAAATACAGTTCAGGATTTCCTAGGGCACCCAGCCAGGTGGTGAGGGAAAGGCATGTCCACCTTAGGGGCTTCTGGACTGCTCTGGTTATCCAGCTGCAGGGTATGGGACCCCCTGGTATCTTTGTTTTATCACCACCACCACCCCCAGGAATTGGGGCAAAGGAGGCGCATGAGGTGGGAGGGCATGGAGACCTCTTGGGGCTGAGTTTGCCACACAGAGCTGGGGACTGGTTGAGACTGGTGAGGACCGCACAGACGCAGTCTGGAAAGGA